AAGAGAGACTTCACCTTAAATACTATTTTCTGAATGTATGCACTAGCCCCCTAGGAACTCTGCGGATGGCCTGCGGCTACTAGAAGCTGAAATAAATAAAGAAGCGCTTCTCCCTAGAGCCGGTGCCCTGAATTTGGACTTCTAGCCCCCTGAACTGTGAGAAAATAAATTTCTGTTCTTTAAAGCCTCACCCTTGTGGTATTTCACATAAACCGTGCAAGGAGACGCCTCAGTCTTTACTCCCTGGTCTTCCTAAATTAGCATGCACCATGGTGTTCTTTCAGAAGAAAGGCCTGGAGATCGACTTCCGAAAAATCAGCCATTGAAAACCCTATGCAGCACAGTTCTACTCTGATACACGTGGGGTCACCGTGAGTCGGAGTTGGCTTGACAGCAACTGGTTATTGCCTAGGTTGTGCAAACAGCGAACGCTCTTGGCTGCTAACTGAAAGGTTGGAAGTTCAAGCCCACCCAGGGGTGCCTCAGAAGAAAGGCCTGGCAATCTACATCCAAAAATTCTGCCCTGAAAACCCTATGGAGCACAGTTCTACACAGTTGTAGTCCTATGCACATGGGTTGCGAGGAGTTGACATCAACTCGACAGGAACTGATATGTCTCTTGGTATATCAAGAAGGTGTCAGGACTTTGTGCAAAAGAGAGTTACTGTAACGAGGTGTGAGGCTACTTGAGGCAGGTTAGAAACTGAAAACTTATACAACCTTATGTATGTGCTCCTCCCGCAGTGATGAAGCCAAGGGAGACTCACCTTTCCAAAGGTAAGTGGAGACTCTTCACCTAATGCATATACAATTACCTGCAGCCACCTGGTCTTTTAATATCAGTTAAGATCTCGGCTTCTAGCTAGATCCATCCAGTTTTGGTGATGCTTACTTAGTTAGCTCTTTGTCATCTAGTTGACTCTGACTCATGGTAACCCCATGCACAGCAGAACAAAACATTGCTTCATCCCGCACCATCTTTACAATCATTGGTGTGCTCGAGCCCATGCTTGAGGCCACCGTGTATTGAGAGTATCTTCCAGCCTAGGGGGCTCGTGTTCCAGCACTATAGCAGACAATGTTGTGATCCACAGGGTTTTCAGTGACTGATTTTCAGAAGTAGATCGCCAGGCCTTTCTTCCTAGTCTGTCTTAGTCTGGAAGCTCCACTGAAACCTGTCCATCATGAGTGATCCTGCTGGTATTTGAAATACCAGAGACACAGCTTCCAGCATCAAAGCAACATGCAGGCTACCACAGTGCAACGTTACAGACTTCAAATTAGAGATGCTGGTTTTGGACACTAATCCACAAAGAAAGGATGAATTCTCGAAACTCATCTCCTCTAGGGCCAGTTTATATGAAACTCCAGGGACTTAAAAGTCAGGTGGTGGTGGTCCAGTGGTAGAATCCTCGCCTTCCATGCGGGAGACCCAAGTTCGGTTCCCAGCCAGTGCACCTCACGCGTAAGCACTGTCCGTCCGTGGAGGCTTGTGTGTTGCTGTGATGCTGAACAGGTTTCAGTGGAGCTTCCACACTAAGACGGACTTGGGAGAAGGGCCTGGCGATCTTCCGATGGCTTAGCTCCCAGCATCACAGCAACACCCAAGCCACCGCAGTACAAGAGAGAGACAGACGAGTGATAAAAAGTACACATAGTTCATGCTTCATCACGTGCTAGGAGATTGAGAGTGGAAAATTATATTCATTAGTGGATTGTAATGAACTGGCTCTTTTTTCTCTTTACATTAAGCTTGAAATCTCTGGGTCCCTCTGTCGTTTGCTTCTTGGTTCATAGGTGAAGTTTTATCGCAGTTATCTTGAGATCCGTGACTCCAGGTCTCTCCCGCTCCTTGGGTGTTCATTGTCTCGTCTTTACAACGAGATCAGGAGAGTCAGTTGCTTAAAAGAGCTCCTCTGGACCTACTTTGCCACATTTCATGCTTCCTTAGGAAACCCTGGTGGCGCAGTGGCTCAGAGCTATGTCTGCTAACCAGCAGGTCGGCAGTTCGAATCCACCAGGCACTCCTTGGAAACCCTATGGGACAGTTCTACTTTGTCCTATAGGCTCACTATGAGTCGGAATCGGCTTGATGGCAGTGGGTTTTATTTTTTTCGAGGCTTTGAAAGACAGGCTGAAAGAGGCAAAGGGCTCAGGCAAAGAACGTTTGTTGGCAGGAGGTGGAATCCCTTGTTTTTGTGCTCAAGCTGCGAAATAACCATTTTTTCAATCCAGGCTCAGAATTCCAAGATTCCTGAAATTCTTTCCTTCTGGAAAACCAGCCGCACTGTCTTGCTGAACTCTCCCTGCCCGTCTGCTGACTCGATATCATCTATCAAGGTCTTAGTATTTAGAGATAATAAACACGTGGACATCATTATGACAAATCTCCTGACCTCTGAAACTGGATTTTCAGAATATGTTCTCTCCCCTGTCGTGACTGCATGCACATTTCAAAGCAATTTGAAATGCTTAATACGGAATCGAATGAAGCCTCTGAGAGCCGAACTCCACGGGACTGCCTTGTTTTTCCAGGTCTCGCGAGTTTCCCGCCTTTGACAGTGTGCTGTCTTACTACTTTTCTCTGGCTCGTTTTAGTAGAAAATGTTTGCATTTTCCTTCTCTGCCAGGTTTCTGCCTTACACGGTTTCCGGCTTATCTTCTTAAAAAGATAATCATCATGATCCCATCTTGCTAAGACATAAGGGATAGAAAACCGCCTGTCTGTTTTCTGGCTGCTGATGCTTTGCCCCGTTCGATGCTCCTCCCAATCATTGCTCTAACACACAAGACTTGAAAATTGTCCTAGTGAGTTGTCTTCCTCCTTAGTCCCTGGGTGGTGCAAATGGTTCACACGCTCAGCTGCTAATTGAAAGGTGGCAGGTTTGAGTCCACTCAGAGGTGCCTAGGAAGACAGGCCTGGCAATCCACTTCTGAAAAATCGGCTATTAAAAAACCCCACGGGGCACAGTTCTCTGACACACAACGGGGCTTCTGTGAGCCGAGATCAATTCAACAGCAGCTGGAGGGTGTCTTCGTGAAGTTACTGGTTTTCCACAACAGTTGCTGAGTGAAGCTGTTGTTTTCTCTTCCCTTCCAAGGAGCTCAAGCATACGGGGACGTGACAGTCTGAACCACTGTCTCTAGAACAGTATCGCGGTCAGCACGGGCTTGGGGGAGGGAGGAATGGGGAGTTCCGGTGTGAGGGGTACAGAATTTCTGCTTGAGGATGAGGAAAAGTTTGGGAGATAGTGATGATGCTCACACAACATGGTGAATACGATTAATGTTGCTGAATGGTACACTGAAAAACGGTTAAAATGGCAAGTTTATGTTAAATAAATATATATATAAGTAGGGAAAAATACCCCCCCTGCAAAAAAAAAGAACAAGATTGGATGTCGTCAATGGTTCCATTTCTATAGGGACAAAGCGGTAGTAACTAGGCTGTCTGCCTACCCTGTTTCTCTCTCTCCGTCTCGCATGTCTGTCCCTGTGTATCTGTCATCTATCTATCTATCTGTCTGTCCGTCTATCTATCTGTTTACCTATTATCTATTTGTCTATCTGTCTCTGTCTCTCTGCCTACCTACCTACCCACTCACTCACCCACCCACTCAGCGCCTCTGCTCTCAGTCTCCTGTAGGTGGCGCCAAAAGCTAAATTTGCACAGGGCTTACCTGCCGCCTTTTGAGAAAATCTTTTTTAGCAAACACCCAGTTTCAACTCAGACTGCCCCAATGTCTCCAGCCTAGCCATTGCTGAAAGCCACCCATGAAATTAAAATGACGTTAAACTTGTAAGAACACAGGAAACACTTCAAACCTTAGGCAGAAAGAAAATAGCCATAACTTTGAATTTCCTCTCTTCTGTGGCAGATTTGCCTATGTGAGGAAATTGGTGAACTTGTAGATTCTTGAGGGATGCATCGGGACACACTTGTCAATGAGTTAATGTTTTATTTCTATTTTTTGTAAATTAATAGCCTTTATTTTTTAGAGCAGTGTTTGGTTTACAGAAAAATTGACCTGAAAGTACAGAGAGTTCCAGTATACCCCGCTGCCCACACACGTGTCTCCTGCTATAAACATCCTGGGTTCCTCTGCTACATTTGTTTCCACTGATGGACCTTTACTGATACATTGTTACTGACTAAAGTCCACAGTTCACGTTAGCGGTCACTCAGTTTGTACAGTCCTGTGGGTTTTGACAAACGTATAATGTCATGTGTCCATCGTTACGGTATCACACAGAATACTTTCACTGCCCTAAAGACGTGAGTTAATTCTTGAAGTGTTCTATGTGACTGTATACTCAGACAGGTCCTGTGGAATTTGTTGCTTCTCGGCAACCGTAGGGACATCAACATTAACAACAGTGGTAACAATGATAATAAGACCGTTACATATATTCTATCTTGGTTAATAAATGTTTATAAGAGAAAAGGTCCGCTAAGACCACTTTTGAAGTTCTTGGGTGGTGCAAATGATGCGAAAGTTCTGGCGATCTACTTCCAAAATACCAGCCATTGAAAACCCTGTGGGGCATAGTGCTATTCTGGCACACATGGGGTTGCCAGGTGTCAGAATTGACTTGACGTCGTCTGGCTTGGTTTTTGAGTCCTTGGGTGGTGCAAATGGTCGGCACACTCAGCTGCTAACTGAGAAGGTGGAGGTTTGAGTCCATCCAGAGGTGCCTTGGAAGAAAGACCTGGTGATCTAATTCCAAAAAAAGTCATCGAAAAACCCTATGGAGCACGGTTCTACTCTGACCCACGTGTGGTCACCCTGAGTTGGGTTGACTGGATGGTTACTGGTTCTTAAGACCTTGTTATTATCTTTGTCCCAGTGAAGTATATCTGCAGGAGAAAAGAAAAATAAGGCATCCCTTTGATCAATGAAATTACAGTCAAAATTACAATGAATTACAGTGAGTGCTGCTGACGTGGCTGTACTTGAAACCACAGCTGACTCTGTGGACTGTCTCTGTCTTCTCCACAGGACATGGACCCTCTGCGGGACCCCTGAGTACCTCGCCCCCGAAGTCATTCAGAGCAAAGGGCACGGGAGGGCTGTGGACTGGTGGGCGTTGGGTATCCTCATCTTTGAGATGCTCTCAGGGTGAGTAGCGCTTCCCTAGGGATGAATTAGCAACTGGCACTCGAGCGTGCCTCCACCCACTCATTCCGTCAGCCCTGGAAATGTAGGTATCCAGGTCGCAAACATGCACATGTAGTGTGGCCGCAAGCCTGTTACCCGCTGCTGTGACGTGAGTCCACAGTCAGGTTTGTTTTAAGGAGGTTATGAATGAATTCTGTTCTAAATATGTATTGGGATCCTAACCCCTTGTTGTGGATTGAATTGTGTCCCCCTAAAATGTGTATCAATTTGGCTCGGCCATGATTCCCATTATTGCATGATTGTCCTCCATTTTGTCATCTATGTGATTTTCCTGTGTGTTGTAAATCCTACCTCTATGATGTTAATGAGGCAGGATTAGAGACAGTTATGTTAATGAGGCAGGACTCAATCTACAAGATAAGACTGTGTTTTAAATCAATCTCTTTTGAGATATAAAAGAGAGAAGCCAGCAGAGAAACATGGGGGACCTCATACCACCAAGAAAGTAGTGCCAGGAGCGGAGCATGTCCTTTGGATCCAGGGTCCCTGCGCTGAGAAGCTCCTAGACCAGGGGGAGATTGTTGACAAAGACCTTCCCCCAGAGCCGACGGACAGAGAAAGCCTTCCTCTGGAGCTGGAGCCCTGAATTCAGACTTCTAGCCTCCTAGACTGTGAGAGAGTAAATTTCTGTTTGTTAAAGCCATCCACTTGTGGTATTTCTGTTACAGCAGCACTCGGTAACTAAGACACTCCTATATCTGTGGCAGAAACCCTGGTGGTGTAGCGGTTAAGAGCTATGGCAGTAACCAAAAAGTTGGCAATTTGAATCCACCAGGCACTCCTTGGAAACCCTATGGGGCAGTTCTACTCTGTCCTATAGGGTTGCTATGAGTTGGAATCAACTTGACAGCAACAAGTTTGGTTTGTTTGTTTTTTTTGTACCTGTGGATGTGATCCTGGTTGAAAGAAGTGGAATCTATGCCAAAGTGTGTTTATTTTATGTGCTTTCTCTCTGTGTCCTGTCTGTCTACTTGCTGTCTCTATCGTCTGTCTGGCCCTCAGTCTGTCTGGCCATCCACCGATCCATCCATCTTCTCCCACCTATCTATCCATCTGATCCATCTGCCTGTTGGTCTGTCTGTCTTTCTGTCTATCATCTATTTATCTGTCATCTCTCCGTCTGTCTGTCTGTCCTCCATCCGTCTATCCGTCCATCTGTTCATCCATCCATCCACCCATCATTTGGTCTTTTGAAATGTCTATTGTACCTTACTCAGACATGTCTAGGGCATCACACAGAACCAGATTTCTGAATGTACACCCTGGTCCATGCAGTACCAACCAAGCAAAAGCTGAAAATACAGGATGCACACTGCTGCCCCGGCAGCATGTTCTCCTTCACCCTTGGTGATATTGTTGCCATGGGGGGCGGCATCCCCGAGCATCACTGAACCCTGAATCTGGAGCTGTCTGTAGCTTGGGGACAGAAATTCCAGGATTTTTTAGAGCACTCTTCCCAGAGGCTGGGAGATGCTGCTTCTCAGATACCTGCTGTCTGCGATTGCTTTTAAGGAGCCCTAGCAGAGCAATGGTTAAGCACTCAACCACTAACTAAAAGGTTGGAGGTTCAAACCCATCTAGCGGCTCTGCAATAGAAAGACCTGGTCATCTGCTCCCATAAAGATTATAGCCTAGAAAACCCTATGAGGCAGTTCTGCTCTGTCACCTGGGGTCGCTATGAGTTGGAATCTATCCTGTGGCACGCAACAACAGATATCTATATATGATATCCACATCTTATGATGTAATACTCAATGCATATTTATTTAAAATCCTCCAATTCAGTGGTTAAGCATTTGGCTGCTAACCAAAAAGTTAGCAGTTCGAATTCACCAGCCGCTCCTTGGAAACCCTGTGGGGCAGTTCTACTCTGTCCTATAGGGTCACTATGAGTCGGAATCGACTCGACGGCAGTGGGTTTGGCTTTTGGCTTATTCACACACATTAGGAGCTCTGGCAGTCTAGTGATTAAGATCTACGGCTGCTAACCAAAAGATCGGCAGTTCAAATCCACCAGCTGCTCCTTGGAAACGTTGTGGGGCAGTTCTACTCTGTGCTACAGAGTCGCTGTAAGTTGGAATCGACTCAATTTTGAGTTTATACACACATTAAGAAGGCCTGGTGGCACAAGAGTTAAATGCTCAGCTGCTAGCTTAAAGGTTGACAGTTTAATTGGGAGTTCTCCAGCGGTTCCACAGGGGAAAGACCTGGCAATCTGCTGCCGTAAAGATTACAGCTTAGAAAACCCTGTGGGCGGTTCTCCTCTGTCCCATGGGGTCGCTATGAGTCTGAATCGACTGGATGGCCCCCAACAACAACACTTGCTTTTCCTTTAGGCAGGATCAGTTACTCTTCATTGGCTTTCCCCCCAGTTACTTAGTAAACTCCTCAAATACCTTTCCCATGATATTATCACGTAACGCCTGCTTCCCGACGGCGCGTTTAATATTCTCCATAAGCGTTTCTAGGTAGGAATGACACATCTTCTCCTGGAGTTTAATGTTCTGTGTCTGAGCTCATTCATTTCCACGATGAAATCATAACAGCCAATGGTATTTACACAGAGCCACCACCCAAGCCCAAAAAAGAGGGCTGCGTTTCCAACAACCACTTTGAGAGAAAGGATCTGGCCGATAAGGAAAGCGCGGACTCGGGGATGGTTAATTTCTGAGGTGTTCACGGTTGGCAAGGTTTAGTGCAGGGAGTATGTACAAATCTGTGCTTCAGAGACTGGGCTAATTTTTCAATAAATGCTAGCTACTGATGTTAGAAGAATGCTATTGTTATTCATGTTGGCTGCAGATGAGTCGATTCCGCCTCCTAGCAACCCCATGCCGCAGAGTAGAATGGCCCCATAGGGTTTTCTAGGCTGTAAACTTTACAGGAGCAGATGACCAGGTCTTTTCTCCCTCAAAGCTGTTGGGTGGATTCGAACCACCAACCTTTTGATTAGAAGTCGAGCAGTTAACCGTTGCACCTCCAGGGCTCCTTAGAAGACTCTGTAGGGTGATGCCAACCATGAATGCACTCGGCTGCTAACCAGAGGGTTAGTAGTCCGAGTCCACCCAGAGGCACGTCGGAAGAAAGGCCTGGCCATCTGCTTCTGAAAAATCAGCCATTGAAAACCCTGTGGAGCACAGTTCTACCCTGACACACATGGGGGGCGCCATGAGTTGGGGTCAAGTCAACAGTAACTGGTATGACCTAAATGAATTAATATGTTATGGAGATGCTGTTATTGGCTTCCTTACTGAAAGTCAATAATATTGGAAGCCATAATTGGCTACTTAAGCCAAAACAATATGCTGAAGTGTAACCCCTGCTGTTCCATTCAGCCTGTACACATTTATTGAGCACCTACTGTGTACGACAGACTGCCAGTTGTGCTAAGAGTACACAGATGCTTAGCGGCTCATGGGGGAGACGTCTTTAAGGCTCACCCGGTCATGAGCTGTCTGTTAGAGACGGTTCTAAAATATTGCAAGGAGGCCTGGTGCTGCAGCGGTTAAGCACTCGGTTGGTAACTGAAAGGTAGGTGGTTCGAACCCACCAGGTGCTCCATGGGAGAAAGACCTGGCAATCTGCTTCGATAAAGATTTATAGCCTAGGAAACCCTGTGGGGCAGTTCTACTCTGTCACACAGGGTCGCAGTGAGTCTGGGCTTCCTATGTCTGCCATTATGACATACCACAAAGTGTGTCCCGTTAACAAACAGAAACTTCTTTTCTCCCAGCCCTGCACGCCGGGAGTTGGAACTCAAGGCCTCAGCAGGGCTCTCTGTGGGTTTATCTGTTGCATCTTCTGTAGCCCTGGGCATTTCTTGACTTGCAGTTGGAGCCCCACAAAGGGTCTCTCCTTGTGTGTGGAACTGTCTTGCCTTATCTCTCCTTCCCTTATTTTATGCCACTCAGAAGGGGTTAGGCTTAGCATCCACCCTCCTCCCCAGGTATGAGGTAACTTTTATCATCCGCAAAGTAAAACCCTATGTGTTAGTTATCTGACCCATTGCCATAGAGTGGATTCAGACTCATAGCGACCCTATAGGACAGAGCAAAATGGCCCCATAGAGTTTCCAAGGCTGCTGTCTTTAGGGGGGCCGACTGCCAACCTTTTGGTTAGCAGCCAAGCGCTTCACCACTGCACCACCAGGCCTCCAACCACAGGCATAGAGGTTAGTATTTACAACACAGTATTTTTGGAGGACACAATTCAATCCATAACACCCGATTTCCCCAAACAAGGCCCCACGCACCTGTGCTCGGCTTAGGACTTCAGTATATTTTGAGGACACACTTCAGTGCATAATAGACGTCTCCGTAAAGGTGTAAGGCGTGGTCGCCGAGGCACGTTCACCACAGTAAACCCGAGAAAGCTTTCCGTTGAATGTGTGTAATGCACAGGTATGGGATCGGTATTTGATAGACGCGTGATCCAATAAGATGCTGTTCAGAGTTTCATTAGGGTCTGCCCCCTGCTCAGCGCACACCTTCACAGGAAGGCTTGCACCTCCGCCCAGGGATTTTGCCCTCCCCTTGGAGTGTCTGTGGGTGCAGCTGTTGCTGTCTGCTGTTGAGAGCCATCCGTCTGTCTGTGTCTGGAGACAGCGGGGATTTTCGTGTGACAGAAGGCGCACGCACAGCCCGTTCTTTTTTTCGTATTTAAAGCGGAACTCGACATCATTGCTTAACCGTTGGGATTTCCCATCCTAGTCTCCACTAAGGATAGATGCTTATTTTTCTCACAGGTTCCCTCCATTTTTCGATGATAATCCGTTTGGAATTTATCAAAAAATTCTTGCAGCCAGAATAGATTTCCCCAGACATTTGGATTTCTATGTCAAGTAAGTAAACCGTGTCTCCCGTCCTCAACTGTCTGTCTCTTTTGAAAGCGTCTGAAGCCACAGGGAAGACGGGGGCTGAGCGTGGTGCCATATTTTTCTTATCCAATGTGCACGTGTCAGCTATTTTGGGCAGTCATCTTTCCTGTAAAAAGGGAAATGGTTTTAATTATTCTCCTTTAATGATACTTGGAACCCTGGTGGCACAGTGGTTAAGAGCTCGGCTGCTAACCAAAAGGGCGGTACTTGGAATCCACCAGCCGCTCCTTGGAAACCCTGTGGGGCAGTTCTACTCTGTCCTATTGGGTCGCTATGAGTAGGAATCGACTTGACAGCAACAGGTTTGGTTTGGTTTTGGTTTAATGATATTTAACCTTTTAAAGACTCTTGGCTACTTTTTATTCCTTTTGCAAGACGTGATATTTAAAATTAGCAAGTAGAGTGAGTGTTGGTTATCATATTGTATAGGAGAGCAGTTTCGGTAGGTTACAGGAAGTGACTCCCCCTTCTCTCTCCCAAGTTGCATGGATTTAACAGAGTTTTATCTTTATTCCTTTGCTTAAGCTATGCTCATGCTGCAAGTTCCTTTCAATGCTAAAATTTGGAGTTAGGAGCATGTTGGATCAAGAACGTTCATCTACCCTGAGACCCGAAGAACTAGATGGTGCCCGGCTACCACTGGCAACTGCTGTAGTCAGGGCCACAATAGATGGACCCTGATAGAATGGGAGAAAAATGTGGAAGAGAACCTCAAATTAAAAAAATAAAAATAAAAACCCAAAAAACAAAAAAAAACCAGACCTACTGGACTGGTTGAGACTGGAGGGCTCCCCGGGACTATTGCCCTGAGATACTCTTCAAACTTTGAACCGAAACTAACCCTTGAGGTCACCTTGCAGCTAAATAACAGATTGGCTCAAAAAATAGTGAATATCATCCATCCATAACTACTGTGCTCCTTTGAAAAATCTATATGAGACCAAATGGTCAGCAATGAATTTAAAACAAAGATGAGATTGTAAGGGGGCAGGGAAACTAAATGAATGGAAATGGAACTATCAGAACAGAAATAATGAGAATGTTCACACATTGTGAAGAACGTAACCAATGTCACTGAACAACTTGTGTAGAAATTGTTGAATGGGGATCCAAACTGCTGTGTAAACCTTCACCAAAAACGCAATAAAATATTATTTAACAACAACAACAAAAAGAAAACAATGTTCATATTTCTATTTATTATTGGTATTCGACTTATTGGCATCATGCTTAATTTGAAGGAGCTCTGGTGGCACAGTGGTTAAGTGCTTGGCTGCTAACCAAAGGTTGGTGGTTTGAACCCACTAGCTGCTCCACGAGAGAAAGACCTGGCGATCTGCTTCTGTAAAGATTCCAGCCTAGGAAGCTCTATGGAGCAGTCCTACTGAGTCCTATAGGGTCGACTGGAGTCAGAACTGACTCGAGGGCAACACGTATACTTAATTTGTGGCAATATGAAGAGAAAACCATTATTTTTTGAAATGAAAGAATGCTTTTGGTTTTAAAGCCGCTTTTCTCAATCCGAGGGTCCCAGGGTGGTGGAATTTGTGCTCGACTCCTAATGTAAAGGTTGGTGGTTCGAACCCACCCCGCAGCGCCTTGGAAGAAAGGCCTGGGGATCTGCTTCCATAAAGATTAGAACCAAGAAAACCCTATGGGGCAGTTCTACTGTGTTGCATAGGGTGTGACATGAGTTGAAATCAACTCGATGGCAGTGGGCTTGTTTGTTTTTTAACTCAGGTCCAGGCACCTTGTACCCATTTTGCTTGGTAATGAGTTTACTTTAAACGCCTTTCGGTGTCTTTCCCAGACCACTTGGTTGGTGCTCCAGACTGTGCTGATGACAAAATAGCATTAAATGTGTTTAGTTGATAACAATGGGCTTTTTTTCCCTTGACTTCTTTTTATTAACGAACGTAGTCTGAGGAAATTGAGTTGAGAGACACTGGATTCCTTGAGAATGGACCAGATTGTCTTGAGTGTGAACTTCCTGGGGCCACCTTCGGAGTCCAGGTTCCTGTCTTGGTGGGGAAGGTATCTTGCCCCAATCAGAGCTTCTCAGTCTGACTAGAAGATAGTGGTTTCCTTGGCTGGCGTGCACTTCAGCTGGTATTGTGTTTGACACCCGCGCCAGGCAAGTTTTAAAGGATTTCAGCAAAAAAAGGTGGGTCAGTGGTAGAATCCTCACCTTTCATGCGGGAGACCCGGGTTTGATTCCTGGCCAATGCACCTCATGTGCAGCTACCACCCGTCTGTCCGTGGAGGCTTGTGTGTTGCTGTGATGCTGAACAGGTTTCAGTGGAGCTTCCAGACTAACACAGACTAGGAAGAAAGACCTGGCAATCCTTCTCTGAAAACATCCGTTGAAAAACCCTATGGATCACGATGGACCAGTGGGGTCACCGTGAGTTGGGGGCTGAAGTGAGGGCAGTCATAACAGCAGGAACAGGAAAAGGCTCCGTTTAAAAAGAAATAACATCAAGAATACGCAGTGGATGGTAAAACAGTGAAGTCAGACAGCTGACTTCACACTCAGAAGTTAGTCACACTAGAAAGAAATAAAACAAGATGACACAGGAGTTCTTTCCCGTGTCCCAAAGTGCAACTGAATCGACCGACATTATTTCAAATAGCAAGATGCTTTTAAAATAGAGTTATGGATTTATCGACAATTTAGCCTGTGCTGACTGGGTTAAAATGAACTCATCCCCACTGGCAGGTCTGCAAATTTATGGCTGCCTCTGATTGTAGATCCACTTATGAGAAATGGTTCAGAGGTAGAACTCTCTCCTGCCATGCGGGAGATCCAGGTTCGATTCCTGCCCAATGCACTTTATGCACAGCCACCACCCATCTGTCGGTGGAGACTAAGAGGTACTAGGAAGAAAGGCCTGGCGATAGACTTCTGAAAATCAATACAGAAGTATGTTAGTTGCCATTTAGCCGGCTCTGACTTACGGTGATCCCGTGCACAACAGAACGAAACATTGCCTAACCCTGTGCATCTTCACGATTGTTGGTCTCCTCAGGGTTCATTGTTGCAACCACTGTGTATTTCGAGTGCTCATCTTCCAGTACTATATCGGAAGATCTTCTGTTGTGATCTGTAGGGTTTCCGCTGGCTGATTTTCAGAAGTAGATCACCAGGCCTTCCTTTCTAGTCTGTCTTAGTCTGGAAGCTCCGCTGAAACCTGTCCACCATGGGTGACCCTGCTGGTATTTGAAATACTGGGGGCAGAGCTTCCAGCATCACAGCAACACCCAAGACCCCACAGGATGACAGACTGACAGACGAGGGGTGAAAGTTCCTTAAAAAACCAAAAGCCAAACCTGTCGCCACGTCTTTCTCCTGAGGAGCGGCTGGTGGGTTCAGACCGCCAACCTTTTGGTGAGCAGCCGAGCGCTTAACCGTTGCCCCACCAGGGCGCCTATTCATCTTGTATAAAACCCGTTGCCATTGAGTTGATTCTGACTTACAGCGATCCTATAGGACCGGGTAGAACTGTCCCATAGGGTTTCCAAGGCTGTAATCTTTACGGAAGCAGACTGCCACATCTTCCTCCTTTGGAGCGGCTGGTGGGTTCTAACCACTGACCTTTCTGTTAGCAGCCGAGTGCTTAACCACTGCGCTACCAGGCTCCTTATTCCTTATGCTACTCAAGTGAGGCATATTTTATGTCAGGACAGCTTAGCACCTAGAAGCTGCATCATCCGTATCCGAATTTCCTCGGGATTTCAATATACGTTTGAAACATCTGGATATTACTGTACAAAATATAGCTGTTACTGTTGGAGGGACCCCCCCAGTCATTTCAAACTCACAGCTACCCCCCGTGACAGTGTGGAATACCCTGTAGGGTTTTCTTGGCTATCATCTTCAAGGGAGTAGATCTCCAGGCATATCTCCCATGGAGCCTCTAGGTGGATTTGAACCAACAATCTTTCGTTATACGTGCATATATGTGTACATTATACTTCCTATAAGTTTTCGTCTTAGAACAAGCCTGTCACTCAGTTATGTTCAACCACATTCTGAAGATCCCACCCTAATAGAAGGGTCCCTGGGTGGTGCAAATGCTTAACGCACTTGGTTGCTAACTGAAATGTTGGAAGTTCAAGTCTAGCCAGAAGCGCCTCAGAAGAAAGGCCTGGCAATCTACTTCCAAAAGATCAGCCATTGAAAGCCCCGTGGAGCACACTTCTACTCTGACACATGTGGGGTTGCCATGAGTTAGAACTGTTATTGTTTTTTTTCAATCCTAGTAGAACTAAAGTGCTGTAGGCTGACGTGTTCTGTTATTAAAGAGAAAGATATAAGTGAATGAGCAGACTTAAAAAACCCATCATGACCCCATCATGATTATGGAAAAGCGAGCATTGTTTTTTTATCATTGTACTTTAGATGAAGGTTTACAGAACAAACTAGCTTCTCATTAAACAGTCAGTACATATATTGTTTTATGACGTTGGTTAACAACCCCATGACATGTCAACACTCCCTTCTTGACCTTGGGTTCCCTATCACTAGCTTTCCTGTCCCCTCCTGCCTTCACATCCTTGCCCCAGGGCTGGTGTGCCCCTTTAGTCTCATTTTGTTTTATGGGCCTGTCTAATCTTTGGCTGAAGGGTGAACCTTGGGAGTGACTTCAGTACTGAGCTAAAAGGGTGTCCGGGGGCCATACTCTCAGGGTTTCTCCAGTCTCTGTCAGGCCAGTAAGTCTGGTCTTTTTCTGTGAGTTAGAATTTTGTTCTACATTTTTCTCCAGCTCTGTCTGGGACCCTCTGTTGTGATCCCTGTCAGAGCAGTCGGTGGTGGTAGCCGAGCACCATCTAGCTGTGCTGGACTCAGTCTGGTGGAGGCCGTGGTAGCTGTGGTCCATTAGTCCTTTGGGCTGATCTTTTCCTTGTATACTGTTCTCTTCATTCTCCCTTGCTCCCAAAGGGGTGAGACCAGTGGAGTATCTTAGATGGCTGCTCAGGTGGAAAAGTGAGCATTTTAAACAATAATTACAGAAATCAGTAGACCCAGAGGGGAAAGCATGACTTTATTTTGATAAGAAAAGATGTCTTGTATTTTGCAGGGGCAATCTGACAGGTGTATTTACATTACGTGTCAGGATCCTTTGGGCTGGTGCGTATTTTGTCAAGCTCATACTCCAAGGCCAAGTCTTTCTTTTAAAGATGAAATTAACCCTTTTCCCTGAACTTAGGCCCCCGTGTACAAGCAACCCAGCCTTGCGTACATTACTGAAGAGCAGATAAGGATAAGAAATAAGTTCCATAAAATGTTTTGCCGAAATACAGATTGAACTGCTGTCCAAATTCATATACAGTAGTGAGTAGGTTTTTTAAAATAATATTACTCTGTTTTTGGTGAAGGTTTACACAGCGGTTTAGGTTCCCGTTCAACAATGTCTATGCAATTTGCTCAGTGACCTTGGTTACATTCTTCACAACGCATGAATATTCTCAGTATTTCCTTTCTGGTTGTTCTGTTTCCATTAATCTAGTTCCCCTGTCCCCTTACCTTCTCATCTTTGTTTGAAAGTCATTGTTGACCGTGTGGTTTCACAGAGGTGATTTTTTTTTTTTTTTAAAAGGAGCACAGTACTCACGAGTCATCTTCATTATTTTTTGAGCCAATTTGTTCTTTAGCTACAAGGTGACCTCAGGGATTAAATCTGGTTCAAGGTTGAAGAATATCTCAGGGCAATAGGCTCAGGGGATCCTCTGGTCGCAACCAATCCAGTAGGTCTGCTTTTTAATTTTTATTATTTTTAGGAATTTGAGGAGTTTGCTTTTTTATTATTTGTTTTGGGAGTGGGTAGATTTTTTGTTTTTGTTTTCGTTTTTTTTTTATTGTACTTTAGATGAAGGTTTGCAGAGCAAACTAGTTTCTCATTAAACAATTAATATACATATTGTTTTGTGACATTGGTTGCCAACCCCACAATATGTCAATACTCTCCCCTTCTCGACCTTGGGTTCCCCATTACCAACTTTCCTGTCCCCTCCTGCCTTCTCGTCCTTGCGCCTGGGCTGGTGTGCCCATTTAGTCTCATTTTGTTTTATGGGCCTGTCTAATCTTTGGCTGAAGGGTGAACCTCAGGAGTGACTTCAGTACTGAGCTAAAAGCGTATCCGGGGGCTATGCTCTCAGGGTTTCTCCAGTCTCTGTCAGGCCAGTAAGTCTGGTCTTTTTTTGTGAGTTAGAATTTTGTTCTCCATTCTTCTCCAGCTCTGTCCAGGACCCTGTATTGTGCTCCCTGTCAGAGCAGTCAGTGGAGGTAGCCCGGGGGCCATCTAGTGGAGTGGGTAGGCTTTTGATCTCTGTTGTTACATTGTATCACTGTGTGATGTTGATGTCAGTATGTACATGCTTTTGTCTCCTTCCTGCAGAGACCTCATCAGGAAGCTGCTTGTGGTGGACAGAACAAGAAGACTCGGAAACATGAAGGTCAGTATTGAAGGCCACATATAGAGAGGTTGGAGGTTCCAGCCCACCCAGAGGCACCTTGGAAGAAAGGCCTGGCAATCTACTTCTTAAAAATCAGCCATTGAAAACCCCGTAGACCACAGTTCTACTCTGACACATATGAGGTCACCACGAGTGAGTGCAGCAACTGGATTTGTTTCTATAAAGAAGGGAAGCAGATGGAACATAAACGACTTCATTTACAGTTCACCAATGGTTCACACTCCAGGCAGGATCTTTAAAACAAAGCAAACTTTTTTGTTTGTTTCTGTAGCATGTAATGTAAGAGATTCTTTGGAACATTTTTTTCTCCTGCCATTTCAAAAATCTATATTCTGACAGTCTTTGGTTGCCTAGTGCTGCTGTAACAGAAATACCACAAGTGGATGGCTCTGATGAACAGAAATTTATTTTCTCACAGTTCAGTTCAGGGTGCCAGCTCTAGGGGAAGGCTCTCTCTGTCAGCTCTGGGGAAAGGTCCGCATCTCTTTCAGCTTCTGCTCCTTGGTTCCTTGGCGATCTCCACGTGGCATCTATCTTCCCGCATCCCTGCTGGCTTCTTTGCTTAATTTGCTGTTTTTATATCTCAGAAATGATTGGCTTCAGGCACACCCTAAACTGATGGCCTCATTAACATAACAAAGACTACCCTATTCCCAAATGTGATTACATTTACTGGTATAGGGGTTAGGATTTATAACACATATCTGTCCCATATGGATGGGACACAGTTCCATCCCTAACACTGATGACGCATGCTTCTTTTGCAGAACGGAGCAAATGACGTGAAACGTCATCGGTGGTTCCGAACTGTGGACTGGGAAGGGGTCCCAAACAGAAGATTGAAGGTAGAACATATGTAAAATGGGCAACTCCTTACTTAGCGTGGGTTAGGTCTCATCAACAATGGTTAAGTGCTCAGCTACTCATGGAAAAGTTTGAAGTTCCACCCCACCCAACAGCTCTGAGGGAGAAAAGACCTGGCCATCTACTCCCATAAAGATCACACCCTAGGAAACCCAATGGGGCAGTTCTACTCTGTCACATGGGGTCGCTCTGAGTTGGAATCGACTCGATGGCACCCAAAAGCAACAACAAGGGACTAACTCAGTTCCTGTGTCTCATTTTTTGTGGTTCATACATAATTGTACAGTACAGCCAGTCACCGCAAGTCATCAATAAGCCACGTTTCCTGTTCAATGAGTTGAGTGAGTAGTTTAGAACTAAAGCATCTCCTGAGCTAGAGTAATAGTTAAGAGCCTAGATTTTGATTATTACTTTTTCTTTTTTCTAAGCAATGTTTGTTGTGAACGTCTCATTAGCCAGGCACTATTTTGTTGTTGTTGGTGCTGTCGAGTCGGTTCCAACTCATAACAACCCTATGCGCCGCGGAACGAAACACTGCCCAGTCTTGCACTATCCTCACAATCATTGTTATGCTCGAGCTTGTTGCGGCCTCTGTGTCAATCCATCTCATTGAGGGTCTTCCTCTTTTTCTCTGATGTTCTACTTTACCAAGCATGATGTCCTTCTCCAGGGACTGGTCCCTCCTGATAACATGTCCAAAGTGCGTGAGATGGAGATAGTGCCAAAGAATTTTCCCAAGTCGTGTACCAACTGACATCACCATCGTTAATATATGAACGTTCTAATTGCTGTACACCATTGCCAGTGCTTGGCATTTTTCTCTCATTTTCCTCTTCACCAGGCTGGTGGGTGTTCAGCTGTATCTTATTGTAGTTTTAATTTACAGCACACTGATGGTTAATGAAACCGAGCATCTTTTCATGAATTTTTTTGCCATTTGAAAATCCTGTTTGTAAAATGCCAGTCCAAGTATTTTTTCCCATATTCTTCTTAAGTAGTCTGCCTTTTATTGCGTCCTAGGATGTTCTTTTTTTTTTTTTTTTTTTTTTTTGCTTTTAGGGAATTTTTTTTTTACTGTACTTTAGGTGAAGCTTCACAGAGGAGATTAGTTTCTCATTGAACAATTAATACACATAGTGTTTTGTGACGTTGGTTGCTAACCCCTTGATGTGTCAACACCCTCCTTTCTTGACCTTGGGTTCCCCATTACCAGCTTTCCTGTCCCCTCTTGCCTTCTCTTCCTTGCCCCGGGTTGGTGTGCCCATTTAGCCTTGTATACATGGTTGAGGTACTTGTATTATTGTTTGTTTTATGGGCCTGTCTCATCTTTGGCTGAAGGGTGAACCTCAGGAGTAATGAGTTAAGAGGATGTCTGGGGGCCATACTCTCAGGGTTTCTCCAGTCTCTGTCAGGCCAGTAAATCTGGTCTTCTTTTTTTGTGAGTTAGAATTATGTTTTACATCCTTCTCCAGCTCTGTCCAGAACCCTCTGTTGTGATCCTGATCAGAGCGGTCAGTGGTGGTAGCTGGGCATCATCTAGCTGTACTGGACTCAGTCTGGTGGAGGCCCTGGTAGCTGTGGTCCGTTAGTCCTTTGGACTAATTTTTTCCTTGTATCTTGTTTTCTTCATTCTCCCTTGCTCCCAAAGGGGTGAGACCAGTGGAGCATCTTAGATGGCTGCTCACAGGCTTTTAAGACCCCAGACGCTACTCACCAAGGTAGAATGTAGCACATTTTATTTATAAACTGTGTTACGCCAGTTGAGCTAGATATTCCCTGAGACCATGGTCCCCAGAGCCCTCCACCCAGAAGTTCAGTCCCTTAGGAAGTTTGGATGTGTCTGTGGAGCTTCCCTGACCTTTCCTTGTACAAGTTGTGCTGGCTTCCCCAGTAATGTGTTCTGTCTCACCCTTCACCAAAGTTACCACTTATCTATTGTCTAGTTAGTGTTGGCAACAGGCTATGAGGTATGGCACCAGCGACTAACATCTTAGCCCAGTACGTTTTCCATCTTACTGGTATTTTCCAAAGCCTGGCCACTGGGCCACCTACCCCTGTACCTGGGGAGGCCTGAGAATCTGCATTTAACAAGCAACCCAGTCGTTTTCATCTTGGAAGCAGCAAACACAGTGTACCCAAATCTTTGAAACGTCACATACGTTCATCCGAACCATGATCGATAGCCTGACCTACTAACACGTCCTCCATTTGAAGCTTTCGGTCTTTGGAAGCAAAGGAAAGTAGACTTTTGATGTTTAGTAATCCTTCCCGTGTTTGTCCAAAGTAACCAGAGCACAGTGATAGACGTAACGTGCAGGTGGGCGGGCCTGTGCGTTCTAACTGTGGGTTTGTGTCTCGGCCGGTCCCCGCCCAGCCCCCCATCGTGCCCAAAGTGACCTGTGATGGTGACACCTCCAACTTCGATACGTACCCCGAGAATGACTGGAACAAGGCCCACCCCGTGTCGCCGGAGGACTTGGAGATCTTCAAGAATTTCTGAGGACAGGAATTCCCGTGTGGAAGGTAAGTCTTTGTTTTCAGTCACTGTCTTAGTTATCTAGTGCTGCTATAACAGAAATATACCACAAGGGGGTGGCTTTAACAAACAGAAATTTATTTTCTCACAGTCTAGGAGACTAAAGTCTAAATTCAGGGCACCAGCTCTAGGGGAAGGCTTTCTCTCGCTGTGGGCTCTGGGGGACGGTCCTTGTCATCAGTCTTCCCCCGGTCTAGGACCTTCTCAGCGCAGGGACCCTGGGTTCAAAGGAAGTGTCCAGCTCCCGGCGTTTCTTTTTTAGCAGTATTGAGGTCCCTCCCCTCTCTGCCCGCTTCTTTCTCCTTTTGTCTCTTGTAAGATAAAAGGTGTGTCTCAAGCAAGGGTATGACTTGAGTCTGTCCTATAGGACAGAGAACGGCCCCACAGGGTTTCCAAGGAGTGGCTGGTGGATTCGAACTGCCAACCTTTTGGATAGCAGTCAAGCTCTTAACCACTGTACCACCAGGGCTCCCATTAACATATAGAGGTTAGGATTTACAACATATCACCAAATGGAGGATAATTACATCAGATTACAAAGTGGGGGACAACCACAGAATACTGGATAATCATGGCCTAGCCAAAGTGGCACACATTTTTGGGGGGCACAATTCCATGCATGACCATCATTAAGATACGGTGAGGGTGTTACTCCCCCACTGTCTGAGCCTCCTAGTGCTGCTACAACAGAAGTTCCACACGTGGGTGGCCGTAACAAACCAGATTTTATTTTCTCGCCGTTCAGGAGGCTAGACGCCCGAATTCAGGGCACTGGCTCTAGGGGACGGCTTTCTCTCTGTTGGTTATGGTGGAAGGTCCTTGTCTCTTTTCAGCTTCTGTTTCTTGTTCCTTGGAGATCTGCATGTGGTGTCACATCTATCTTCCTCCATCTCTGCTTGCTTGCTTGATATGCTCCTTTTGTATCTCAGAAAAGGTAGATTTAAGATACACCGCACACTGCTACATTAACATAACCAAGAAAACCTTTTTTCCCAGATGGGATTATAACCCTCAGGTATAAGGATTGGAGCCCTGGTGGTGTACTGATGAAGAGCTTGGCTGCTAATGAAAAGGCCAGCAGTTCGAATCCACCAGCTGCTCCTTGGAAACCCTGTGGGGACAGTTCTACTGTGTCCTATATGGTTGCTATGAGTTGGAATCAATAGCAGTGGGTTTTTTGGTTTTGGTATAGGGGTTAGAGAGGAGCCCTGGTGGCGCAGTGGTTAAGCACTCGCTGCTATGTGAAAGGTCAGAGGTTTGAGCCCACCAGCCGCTCCGTGGGACAAGGATGTAGCGGTTTGCTTCTGTGAAGATTACAGCCTTGGAACCCCTATGGGGCAGTTCGACTCTGTCCCAGAGGGCTGCTATGAGTTGGAATTGACTCAGCGGTGACGGTTTTTTTTGTTTTTTTTTGATTAGCAAGCCAAACCCATTGCTGTCGAGCTGATTCTGACTCATAGCGACTCTATAGGACACAGTCGAACTGCCCCATAGGGTTTCTAAGGAGCGCCTGGTGGATTTGAACTGCCAACCTTTTGGTTAGCAGCTGTAGCACTTAACCGCTACACCACCAGGATTTCCTTTTGGTTTATAGGGGTTAAGATTTACAACACGTATTTTGTGGGGAACACAATTCAATCTGTAACAAAAGGTAACAAAGTTTGTCTTCTCTCATGTTAAAACAGGCAGTCCAGAGGGTGAACCGGGCCAAAGATGTACACACCTATGCACACCTAAAGAGCTGCCTACGTGGTATTGAAGGAGGACGTTTCCACGTTGGTATCAATCCACTTGTACATAGAGACTTGAGAGCGGTTGGAATCCACAGACCTGGCATTATTTAAACAACTGGAAGTGTCCTGCACAGTAGGAAACTTTGGGGAAAAAAAAGAAGACAAGCATGGTTTCGTTGTAGACTTCACCTTATCCTCTTGTGTTACGTTTCTCCTGCGATGCCTACGTTTTCCTCATAGACTTAAACTTTACAACTTTGGACAAAAAGTGTTCCACGGTCACCACCAACTGTGTGTGTGTGCGTGTGTGTGTGTGTGTGAAGAAGAACTTAAAGATGTGTTCACAGGAACTGTGCCTGGATGTAAATGTTTCATACTTGGCGGAGTCTATTATTTTTATTTTCAAATGTGTTTTATTTCCTTCTGCCCCCAAGGATCTGTTCTCCAGAGGACAGAAATCTCAAGAGTATGATTTTTGCTTTTTTTTTATCATTTCATTTGCATTTTATAGTTTTTTGTGGTACAGAAAAAAAGAGATTATGTGGCGGTTTGCTTCTATTGTTTATAAACCAAACCCAACCCACTGCCGTCGAGTTGATTCCAACTCCTAGCGACCCTATAGGACAGAGGAGAACTGCCCCACAGGGTTTCCAAGGAGCTGTTGGTGGATTCGAACTGCCGATCTTTTGGTTAGCAGCCAAAAGCTTAACCACTGCGCCACTGGGACTCCAACTTATTTCTATACGTGATGCTTCTTATCTGTTAACTTTCGGCCTTTGAAGCAGAGGGAAAAGGATGGAGATTGAGGGCAACTTATGCCAGCAAGCAGCCAGTGACTACGTTGAGTCATTCAAAGAATGTAATGTATTCCAGAAATTTTCTGTGTCACATTCAGAAACGTCATATACCACTGTGACGTGGCTTCCTATTAAAACCCCAGTTTAAATCTGTTGGACTAAATGCACCTCTCAAGCCAACAAGGAACTTTTAACATTGATTCCATGGTATGGACCACCTTCTTTCAAAGGCTATCTTTTAGCTTTCATTTTGGGAAGGAGTCCCTGAGTAGTACAAATGGTTAATGTGCTCAGCTGCTAGCTGAAAGGTTGGAGGTTCAAGTCCACCCAGAGGTATCTTGGAAGAAAGGCCTGGCGATCTACTTCGGAAAGGTCACAGCCTTGAAAACCCTACGGAGCACAGTTCTACTCTGCACACATATGGGGTCGCCATAATTCAGAGTCGGCTCATTGGAAATTGGTTTTGGGGTCCCTGGGTGGTGCAAACAATAAACACATTTGGCTGCTAGCTGAAAGATTAGAGGTTTGAGTCCACCCAGAGGTGCCTCAGAAGAAAAGACCTGGAGATCTACTTCCAAAAAATCAGCCATTGAAAACCCTGTGGAGCACAGTTCTACTCTGACACACATGGGGTCACCAAGAATAGGAGTTGACTCCAAGGCAACTGGTTTACTTTTGGTAAAAGCAAAGACATGAATCATCCGTAGAATGTCAGCATTCAACACGGGAACAACGAACCCCGCTCTGGCCTGCTGTTTTGGTTCGAAAACTTCAATTTAAATTTTCGTTCCATTGCCGTGGAGTCGAATTCTGACTCACAGTGACCCTACAGAACAGAGTAGAACTGCCCCATAGGGTTTCCAAGGCTGTAAATCTTTAGGGAAGCAGACTGCCACATCTTTCTCCCGTGGAGCAGCAGGTGGGTTCGAACCGCCAACCTTTTGCTTAGCAGCTGAGGGCTTTGAGGAGCATCCCTCAAATGTCTATTGCAGGACTGACTTAACAGAGCCATATGTTGTATGGTCCCGATGACCACGTACCTAATATGGGTCTTCCCAGAAGCTGAGCGTTTTCAGCGTCCGCGGAGCCTGCACCGTGCACCATTTATTTTCCCTCCTGCCCCTCCTCTCCCCATTCCTAGTTCCTCGCTTCGCTGCACAAACCCACACGGATTTGACTTTCTCTGCTCACTCGGCCTCAGCTCAAAAATTCGATTGTTAACATTGAAAAACCCTACGGAGCCCAGTTCTCCTCTGCACACATGGGGTTGAGGTGCGTTGGAGTCGACGGCAATTAAGAGCGACAACGAGGCGTAAGGTTGAGTAAAATAAACTGTTTTAACTGAGTAGCTCAATGAAAATGAGTTTAAAATGTTGAGCTGTGTAAAACCTACAGAATGATTTTCCTCAGTCACCATCTTGTTTGGATTATAATGAGGGCCAGGGTTGGCCGAGACCTCACAATGCAGTTTCTGAAATATTTCATCATAGACTATTAGATGCTTAGGTCAGCAAAGGGACTATGCAACAAGGTAAGAATCTAGAGGTAAGAAAGCATAAGTCTCGTTACCTGACTATAAAAATAAAAGTTTACAATTATTATTAGTATTGTTGGGGCCTTCCACTTAAAAAAATAAAAAAGAAAGAAATGAAGCACCTTCCTTGAATATAGTAACAACATTGTACACAGACACATTAAACCCTATGCCCATTTTTTTAGGTTTACTTCTTACTTTCCAGATTTAATATTGAGGTAAAAATAGCACTGAGAATCTCTGAAATGCACTGCCTTATTTATGAACAAATATGCAGGAAAAAAGAATGTGCAAACGCATTGATTATGTTATTCTCTAAAAGTGTTGTAATCAGCCTTCAGCCATACAGAGCAAACGCAGAACTAAAAGGAATTCCAAGAACATTTGATGGTGTTAAACCCACCTTGCACGGTCTCGCACGTTTTAATATCCACAGTGCCACACGCTAAATGTGAACTGGCCGTGAACTCACCGTAAATTAAACAGTGTGATGTAATGTCACTGCTGGTTTAATCAAAGTGAGGAATCAACATGGAACAACCATTACATATACAGTGAAACTCGTGAGAACTGGAACTCGACGAGACCTCCTTATTTTTCCGGGTCTTTCAAGTTTTCCGCCTTTGACAGGGTACAGTCTTTTCTATTGCTCCTTTTAATGGAAAATATTTGAGTTTCCTTCTCTGACAGGTTTCTGCCTTGCACAGGTCCCGGCTTACACAGGTTTTACTCTAATTGAAAAATGGCTTACTCTGTGGAGGTGTCTCGACATTTTCGTGTATATTCTTCAATGTAATCACTGTGCAAAATTTAGAGGGGAATTCACGAAAACAATCACCCTGTATGTATCAGATTAAGTGATAGATTTATTTTGTTTTAGGTAACTGTATATGAGTCAGCAGCATTTTCTTAAATATGAATACTATAAAAGAATATCTTTAAGAAATGCATATATCACAATAGGAAGTACATTGCGGTGGGTCTTGTTTTCGTAAGTGGGAATGTCCCTGGCTTGCTTTGATAATGCATTTATAAACCCAAGAAGGAAATAAAGCTATAACCAGTTATACAGAATATAGTACACCTGCATTGGCCAACTTCTTATTCCTTCACAACAGAAGCCGGAATCTTGCTCAGCAGAAACAGATCTATTACTGGCAAAGGGCAAATCATGAATTCTGACATCAACGTGGCAGAATGCACAAAAGAAACTCCAATCAGGGAATTCCATGCCATCACAACGCTGTAAAAAACCCCACTTGCGATCCATGTCTGTGTAGCAACTGCACAATCGTTCGTTTATATGCTTGTAGCACAACATTTTCTTTCATTCTTTATACTTGAAAACTAAACGATGTGACATCTCTACCAATTAAAAAACCACCAGTAGGGCTAAGCAGTGCTGGGATTTGGGATGCATTGGCCACTTCTGTGTTTAACCTGAGTTGCCTCTATGATTCGGACCCTTCTACTGTGAACATATGGCTTCATACTGTTAACTAAAGGTCTCCAGCCATGGGTCTTTGCACATTGGAGGCTGTGCCAACATCCCAACAGAACATTTAAGTCATTGGTCCGGCCACTTGGTTTATGTATCATGTTAGCACAATCCTAGCAGACCTTGATTGCCCCAATTGTAGAGATTTGAAATGTGATTCCTCAGTTGTTCTTTCTATTTGGTCAATCAGTCTAGCGTGCATTTTATACGCCTGGGGCACTTTCTCTATACTATTTATCCCTGTTTTTGGCGGAGGTGAGAGGACTTCCTTCAACCCGAGTGAAGGATGTTCACTCAACAAAAACAAGAACAAAAGCACATAAGCGGTTGTCTTAATGTATTTGGATAGTTTGTTTGGGGTGGGTGTGTGTGTTGCTGGGGGTGGCCGGGTGTCTTCACCAAGCATAACATTTAAACATCATGTTTGCTTTGCAAACACGATGGCCTTGTAACCCTTGGAACGGTGCTCCATGATACAGGGGAAATGATGCTGCCATGGTTTTCTTTAAATTATTGTGTTTTAAGAAGTTTTGTTTAGCTTTAATTTCTTCTCCCACGGTGGGTGGACACAGCTGTTAACTAAAGAGTTGTTACATGTGTTTTGATGGATAGGATTTGAAGCCAGTTGATGCCTAGGCATTGCTTTCTTGAGAACTTCAGTAGCTTAGTTCTGTTTTTGCACTGGACCAGGCCCTGCCTTGCACGTTGTCTGCGTGCTTCCAGGGCCCATGTGGCTGCTGTCCGACACGGGGACCCTGGTACCAGAGGTGGGGTGGCTTGACTTTTGATCGGTGTGCCCCCTGGTGGGTCGGAGCTAGGAAGCCTGCGAAGCAAAGCAATCCCAGATACTCAGAGGAAAAGTATGTTCAAAATTACGTCATTTCCTTGTACAATGAAAACCACTGTGATTTGTATATATGCCCTAGGGTGATTTTACTGCTGTGTAATTTATGTAAGAAGACTGTTCATTCCCAGTTTGTTTAATAAAACTTTGTATCTTTTAAGAAGTCTGATTCTGATGTGCTCCTTTTTTGGCAGTGGGCAAGCTATGGTTTTTCTGATTTCATCTACTCTAGCAGGGTGGGGACGGGGTAGGGGGTGGCTAGGGGGCAGGGTTTTTCTGTAAAGGGCCAGGGGGAAAGTACTGTCTGCTTTGGGGGCCATACAAATATCGGTTGAAATAGGTGGTGTGTAGCAGAACGGGCAAGCCTGTGTGCCAATAAAACTTTATTTACACAAACAAGCAGCTGGTTTGGCTCTCGACCTGTGGTTTGCCAATCCCTAATCTAGTGTATAAGGAGCCCTGCTGGTGCAGTGGTTAAACACTCAGCTGCTAACCAAAAGCTTGGCGGTTTGAAACCATCAGCCACTCCAAGGGAGAAAGACCAGACCATCTGCTTCTGTAAAGATTCCGTTGCCGTTGAGTCAATTCTGACTCATAGTGACCCTACAGGACAGAGTAGAACTGCCTCATAGGGTTTTCAAGGAGCGGCTGGTGGATTGGAACTGCTGACCTTTTGGTTAGCAGCCGAGCTCTTAACCACTGAGCCACCAGGGTTTCCCTGTAAAGATTACAGTCTTGGAAACCCTATGGGGG